AGGGGTCGCTATGAGTCGGGGCCGACTCGACGGCACATAACAACAACAACAACAACAAGACAAACATTTGACTAACAGATGCTAAATAAGAACTGTATGTACTTGTTCTGACTTACCTACAAATTCATCTTAACGATAGACTTAGGAACTGATGTCATTCATAACCTGGGGACTGCCTGTAATCTTTAAACCTTAAACAAAAAATATCCCCTAAAGTATTCTTTAAACTAAATAATAGTTTAGCCTTATTAGTGAAGAATGTCTACCTTGAACATTCACTCTTTTAAAGGGATCAAATTGACAACAGCAACTCTAAAGGTTAGATAAGAATCTTATGGGGCAGTGAATTTATGTTAAAGTTGGAGAAATAATTTGGAAAAGGAGGGTGAAAATGGTTGTACAACTTGAAGAATGTTATCAATGTCACTGAGTTATGCACGTAGAAATTGTTGAATTGGTATATGTGTTGCTGTGGAAATGTTTAACAATAAAAAATAAAATGATCTCTGTTCTAAGCACTTTATACAAATTAACTCATTTAATTCTCATCACCATCTGACTAAGGAGCTCTGGTAGCACAGTGGTTAAAACATTCAGCTGCTAGCCAAAAGTTAATTGTTGGAATCCAGTAGCCACTTCAAGGAAGAAGATGAGGTAGTCTGCTTCCATAAAGATTTACAGCCTTGGAAAAAGGCAGTTCTACTCGCTCTGAAAGGTTCGCTGTGAGTTGGAATCAACTCAATGGCAGTGAGTTTGGTTTTAGGTATCTCCTGACTATGTATTTGTCTCCTGTTAGCATAAGGTCACTGCTGGAGGGAACCTGACTTGTCCAGGGTCTTTTCACTACCCATAAAAAAAAAAAAAAAAAACCCTCAGATCTCAGGACAGGTTATGTCATAGCCTTTTAATAACCTTGAAAACTGACAAAGACCAAACAAGGCTATTTATTCAGAGCTTATTATAGCAAAAGAGTTAGCCATTATTTGGTTTGGCAGAGACACAAAGGCAGGTAGCAGGGTAGGAACAATTTATTGTGGAAAAAGGGAAGGCTTCAGGTGTGCTCTGATTGGAGGTTGACGACATGCATTAAGTGGAAGCAGGCTAACTGGAAGCAAGACAGCCTTTATGACTGGTGGTGGTGGTTGTTGTTATGTGCCATCAATTACCCCAGTCACAGCGACCCCTCCTTGGGTTTCTGAGGCAGTATCACTACAGAAGTAGATTGCCCGACCTTCCTTCCCAGAAGTGGCTGATGGGTTTGAACTGTGAGCCTTCTGGTTAGCAGTCAAGTGCCTTAGGCATTATGCTACCAGAGCTCCTAAGACTGGTTACGGGAGTGAGTATATTTGGCTTTCTCCTGGTGTCTTATGTTGGAAGTATGGACAAAAATTAAGGAATCTGCCTATTATTAATTAAGTCCTGGCTATTTGGGCCCATTCTAACAGGGATTATGATTTATCTTCCTAGAGGTAGCTGTAGAGATTGATTTTATTTTCCTGGATTTAATGCTGCAGATAGTGGGTGAGAGTTCTATTTTTATTTTATAAATGAAGCACCTTCCTAATTTTTAAAATGTAATTATCATACCATCTCTGAATATCTGATATGGTTGTCTAAATAAGATCACAAAGGTCAAGAGTTGAAGGAACAGTGGTGCTCAATCCCAAAAAGAGCCAGTCTCCCTTCCCCTACTTCTCCCAAATACTGGAAATTGGAATGGCAAGAAATGTTACTCCCTGGCCAAAATATAGCTGCTGCTAAAGGAAAGGAGCCCCGATTGTGCATTGGTTAAGTACTCAGCTGTTAACTGAAAGGTTAGTGGTTCAAAACCACTGGCCACTCTGTGGGAGAAAGATGGGTCAGTCTGTATCTGTAAAGATTTACAACCTTGGAAACCCTTTGGGGCAGTTCTACCCTGTCCTATAGGGTCACTATGAGGAGGAATCAATTCGACAGCAGTGGGTGGGTGGTGGTGAGTGATAAGTAGGGCAAAACACCAGAGACTTATATTCTCTGAGCCTCAATTTCTCCATCTGTAAAACATGGCAACTGTTCCCATCTCTTCAGGTTGTTAGAAAAATTACACACTGAATAATAAATGTGCAGTACCTAGCCAGTGATACAACCCCGCAGTGCAGGCTCAATGCATGTTACTGCCCCATCATCCTCCATCCCTTACCTAGAAGGCAGAGCCAGGCTTCTCTTCCACTCCCAGATAAAAGAAAAGTGGTCCAAGGACAGACACTGAGGCTTTAACAGAGGCTAGTTTAAGACACATGGATTTGATATGTCTCATGCTCGCTCTTCTGCAACCTGTGCAAGGTACTCACTGAAATAATTGTTAGACACAGTTTTAGATGCCATCACTGTCATCACATGTGTTTGGTTTCCTCTGTATGTGTCCATGACCTGACTCCACACTATAGTTTTCTACCCCGTACTTCAGAAGCTGCTGCCTCAGCCTCAAAGAGTCACTGCGAAGATGCCAATACATGCATGTGGCAGCCCCTGGTAGAGAACACTGTGCCCTGTAGCCATCGCAGCACCAGAGTACAGACACCAGCCCTGATTATGGTATCAGCAAAAGTATAACAAGAACATAGGGAAAAACAGGCACACTCAAAAACTCTTAGTGTGTGTAAAATTGCTGCAACCTTCTTTTGAAGGACAATTTGGCTATATCTAAACAAAAATGACAAAATTGTTTAAGCCACTGACCTAGCAGTTCTACTTCTAAGGATTTAGCCAACAGACCAGAGCACATGGGTAGGTGAACAGATGATGCAGATAAGGATATTTACCACAATGCTGTGGAACTAGCAAAAACAAAAACAGAATATAAAGTAAATAGCTATCCATAAGAAAGGATAGTAAACTGTGGTTCACCATATCCATTTCACCCATGTTACAAAATACTATGCTGATGTTAAAGAGAATGAGATAAATTAGAATGTACCGACATAAAACATCCTGCACAATTTTTTTAGTTTCAGAATTTTTAAAGAAGTGGTTGTACCTGTAAAAGCATAGAAAAAGGCAAGACTTATGGGGGATATGATGGGGTTTGTAATATCCGAAGACCTGGGCCTCACATTTCCAGAACCGTCTAACTCAGCTTTATAACTTGTCTACATAGTTATCCTCACATACACTCTGGCATCCTACTAACTGACCACACGCCAGTTCCCTCTTTCAACAGAGCTTTTGAGAAACCACTAAAACAGATACAAATAATGATCCTGGAATTATGAGCAGCTAATGAGAAGGAAAAGTATTAGATGCAGTGAAGATGGCAAAAGGCAGCAGGTTAAGTGGGAAAAATTAAAAAAAAAAAGAAAAACCCAATGGTAGAGCCAAAGAGAAGCCATTAGAAATACAAGGAATGTGGAGGAGGAGAAAAAAAAAAAAACTTCACGGAACTCACAAGTATTAAAGGCACAGAATAGTCATAGCAGGAGTGTTTCAAGGTGAGCTAAAGCTGCACGTGGGGGTGAAGATGGTACTGAGAAATGGATCAGGACTTCTGTAGCTTCAGATGCCATGGAGTTAGGTGCACCTTAGTCTTCAACAAGACATCTTGGCTCTTCAGCACTTTTTAAAGGTTTTTTTTTTTTTTTTTTTTTGCAGCGAGGCCTAATTTCTTGACTGCTGCTTCCACTGGTATTGATTGTGGAGCCAGGTAATATGAAATCTTTGATAATTTCAGTCTTCTCTCCATTTATCATGATGCTGCTTATGTCTAGTTGTGAGGATTTTCATTTTCTTTATGTTGAGGTGTAATCCATACTGCAGACTGTAGTCTTTAATCTTCATCAGTAAGTGCTTCAAGTCCTCTTCAC